AAAATTACACTGCAGGAGATTGTGCATCCTTCTCCTGAACGGAAACTGGTGGATTTGAACTGCCAGAAGGGAGCACCTTGGAGTTACCAGCATACCTCCCTGTGGCCTGGGCTACCTAAAGGCTGAGCACCAGAGGCCCAGAGGACCAACTAGAGAGCCTGGATTCTAGTGGGAGGAGGAGCAGTTGTGGCAGTTGTTGTTGTTGTTGTTGTTGTTATCTGCCCTCGGTCACAGTGACCCCATACACAGTGGGGCAGAGCACTTCCTGTGCCCACACCTTCCCCATCCTCAGCTGTGGATTTCACTGCTGCAGTCTGTGGGGTTTTCTTTGTCTAGGTTTTGGAATTGGATTGCCAGATTTTTCTTCCTACTCCAGCTCAGTCTGGCAGCTCCACGAGATGTAACTTGTCACCCTGTCAACATAGGAACCTCTCCCGACAGACGAGTGTAGAGATGAGACTCCCGTAAATGGTAATTTGCAGGAGGAATAACTCAAGACGTTCACGCGGCTTGTCATTTGATGACATTAATCACAATTCACTGATGTAATTTATTACAATGACTAAATGCTTATAGCCCACTTCCTTTACTACCTCCCAACTTATCTGTTTGTTACTTGGCCTGAGTACAGAGGACAATAAAGATCAAAGAAAGGTTGTTGTTGTTGTTGTTATGTGCCGTCGAGTCGCCTGCGACTCATAGCAACCCTATGTACAACAGCCCTAAACTCCGCTCTGTCCTGTGCCAATCGCACTGTCTCTGACACTCCCATCCCAATTATCCCAGTCACTGAATCAATCCACCTCATAGAGGGCCTTCCTCTCCTGCGCCATCCCTCCACCCTCCCAAGCATGATGTCCCTCTCTAAGGACCGGTCTCTCCTCACTACATGTCCAAAGTAAGTTAGACCGAGCCTCAGAATCCTTGCCTCCAAGGAGCCACCCGGTTTAACCCTCTCCAGGACAAATCTATTTGTTTTCCTAGCAGTCCATGGTATTCTCAGTACTCTTCTCCAGCACCACAGCTCAAAGGCATCAATTCTCCTTCTATCCTCCTTGGTCATTGTACAACTCTCTGATGTATAACAGGTGATTGCGAAGACCATGGCCTGTATCAGACGCACCTTAGTCTCCAGAGAGACACCACTGCTCTTCAGCACTTTGGAGAGGTCCCTAACAGCAGACTTTCCCATGGCAATGCGCCTTTTAATTTCCTGGCTGCTGGTGCCAAGACTGTTGACTATGGAGCCAAGCAAACTAAAGCTGTGTACAATCTCAATCTCTTCACCATCCATCCTGATGCTGCCAATTGGTTGGTCCAGTGGTGAGAATCTTTGTCTTCTTGACATTGAGCCTCAATCCATATTGTAGGCTGCAGTCCTTGACACTCTGCAGCAGGCGCTTCAGGTCCTCCTCAGTTTCAGCAAGCAGGGTTGTGTCACCCGCATAACGCAGATTGTTGATAAATCGTCCACCAAATCCTGACCCCACATTTCTCCTCATAGAGCCCAGCCTCCCGGATAATCTGTTCTGCATATAGGTTGAAAAGGTATGGAGATAGGATGCATCCCTGGCGTACACCCTTCCCAATTTTGAAGGTAGGGTCACAATAAATGTGCTCCACAAACAAGAATACACTGAAAATCGCCCTGCATTTCACAGGACAGCTGGGGGCAGGGCCGAGGAACAGGTGGGTTCTACTCTTCACTGCAGGGACTTGAGTGAGGTGGAGGCAAGGAATGGTCTCAGGGACCGAAGAAATCGTGCTTTTTAAAATATGGTGACAAAGAGGAGGTTTTGCAGGTTGACATTAGTCCTCTTCTTCAAGCTGAATTGAGGGAGATGGCAGGATCCTTGCTAAGAGATAGCAGGGGGTGCAGGGGAGTCTAGAGATTCCAGAGAGGCCCTGAGACACAGCACTTAATGTGACTGAAATTAAGTGTCCAGCATGTTTATAATGAAACTGTAAATTCGAATACAAATTTGAACAAATTCGTTCAATTTCCCTCACCCCCTACCCATCAAATTGTTCAACCCAATGAGTAATCCTCCCTTCCCCCACACATCCACATCCCTCTGCTTCCAGCCTCTTCCACCCCTCCTGGATTCTTATATTCATTCTACAATAATGATTTTATCCTATATTTATCCTTATGAGACTCAGTTAGCTCACTCGGCATAATGCTCTCCAGTCCCTCCCAAGTTAGGTAATAATTTACAAAGTTATTGCTCCTGTGTGCTGCATAGTATTCCATTGTGGGAATGTGCCATAATTACTCAATTCATTTGTTTGTGGTTGGATATTTGAGCTGTTTTCATGTTCTTGTGATGGTGAATAATTCTATGAACATTGGTGTACAAATCTCAGTTTGTGCCCCAGTTTTCGTATTCTCAGGGTATATTCCAAGTAATGGAATAGCTGGGTCATATGGAATTTCTATGTTCAGCTTTCTGAGGAAGTGCCAAATGCGCCTGATTTCTATGAAAGTCCTTAAACACCATTAGTGAAAGAACCACCAGACAAAATTCACACATGCAGACAGGTTTCTAGAAAAGTAAAAAGCAAGAAGCAGACCCTCATCTGTTTTGCCCATTTGATTTTGGACCATGTCCTCTGCTTTGAACCACATACCTTGACCTTTCCTCATTGTCGACAGAGGCCAGTAAAACAAGAACCCCTCACATCACCTGCTGGGGGCCTTTTGCCTAGGGCATGGGACGTTGCTATCCAGGCATGCCTTGTTTTATTGCACTTTGCAAATATACATTGTCCATACGTGGAAGACTGGTGACCACACTCTGTCAGCAAGCTTGTCGGTGTCATCTTGCCAACAGCGTGTGCTCACTTAGCATCCCTGTGTCATCCTCCCAGTGTTACAGACCTCCCGAGCCGCAGCTGCCCACTGACCAGGCTGCCGTGAAGCAGGCCTGGCCTTGCAGTGGGGGAAGCCACAGGATTCCTGCAGCTCCCTTCACTGTGCAACTAGCACCTGCAGCCTCTCCAAGGTATGCCCATGTGTGGTCACTTGCGAACCCCTATAATGATGATGATGGAGAAGAAGAAGGAGGAGGAAGTTCAAATTGCTCTGAAGGAATGGGCAAAAAACACGGCTCCAGGAGTTGACGGCATACCAATTGACATACTTCAACAAACAGACACTGCCCTGGATGTGCTCACTAAGTTGTGCCAAGAAATCTGGAGAACAGCCAGCTGGCCCACTGACTGGAAAAGATCGATATTTGTTCCCATACAAAGAAAGATGATCCAACAGAGTGTGGAAATTATCAAACAATATCATTGATATCACATGCAAGCAAGATTCTGCTGAAAATTATCCAAAAATGTTTGGAACAATATGTCAACAGATGTGCAGGCTGGATTTAGAAGAGATCGTGGTAGTAGGGATATTATAGCTAATGTTAGCTAATGTTAGATGGATCTTGGCAGAAAGCAAAGAATACCAGAAGAATGTCTGTCTGTGCTTCATTAACTATGCAAAGGCTTTTGACTGTGTGGATCACAACAAGCTGTGGCTGACTCTGAGAAGAATGAGAATCCCAGAACGTTTGATTGTGCTAATGCGAAACCTATACTTGGACCAAGAGGCAGTCATCAGAACAGAGCAGGGAGATACTGGATGCTTCAAAATCACGGAAGGGGTCCATCAGGGATGTGTTTTGTCTCCATACCTTTTCAATCTGTGTGCAGAACAGATCATCCGAGACGCTGGGCTATATGAAGAGGAATGTGGCATCAGGATTGGTGGAAGAGTCATCAACAACCTGCGTTATGCAGATGACACAACCCTGCTTGCTGAAACTGAGGAGGACCTGAAGCACTTGTGCAGAAGATCACGGACTGTAGCCTTCTATATGGACTGAAGCTCAACATCAAGAAAACAAAGATTCTCACCACTGGGCCAATTGGCAGCATCAGTATGATGGTGAAGAGATTGAGATAGTTAACAGTCTTAGTTTACTTGGCTCCACAATCAACATTCTTGGTAACTAACAGCAGCCGGGAAATCAAGAGAAGAATTGCATTGGGAAAGTCGGCTGTGAGGGACCTCTCAAGAGTACTGAAGAGCAATGATGTCAGACTGGAGACTAAGGTGCTCCTGATCTGGGCGATAGTCTTCGCAATTACGTGCTATGCATCAGAGTATTGGACAGTGAATAGGGTTGATAGAAAGAGAATTGATGCCTTTGAGCTGTGGTGCTGGAGGAGTGTTGAATATACCATGGACTGCTAGGAGAACAAACAGGTTTGTCCTGGAGAGGGTAAAGTCGGAAGGCTCTTTGGAGTCAAGGATTATGAAGCTTCATCTGACATATTTTGGGCATGTTGCAAGGAGGGACTGGTCCTTGGAGAGGGACATCATGTTTGGCAGAGTGGAGGGGTGGTGAGGGAGAGAAAGATCTTCCATGAGATGGCTCGATTCTATAACTGGAGCAGTGGGAATAAGTGTGTTTGAGATGGCTAGGTTGGCACAGGAGAGAAGAGCGTTTAGAGCGCTTGTACATAGGGTCGCTATTAGTTGCAAGCGACTGGATGGCACATAACAAAAACAACATCATTATTATTATTACTCACGTTAATGAACATTTACAGAGGCTTTGGATTTCTATTCATTCCTTGTTGCACTTTTCTCCCTGCCCACCGCTCCCCGCCCCCAGTTCACTCTTCTCTTTAAAAAGTAAAATTCTTTCCCTCTTGTGTCCTCGCACCTGCAGCCTCTGCAAGGTGTGCCTGTGTGTGTGTGTGTGTGCGCGCGCGCGCGCGCGCACGCGCGCGTGCCCATGTGTGTGTATGGGGGTTAGCCTACGAACTCTCTTGTGTCCTCGTACTGGCGGCCTCTCCAAGGTGTGTGTCGGGGTGGGGGCGGTGTGCCCGTGTGTGTATGTGGGTTAACTTACGAACCCTCTTGTGTCCTCACACTTGCGGCCTCTCCAAGGTGTAACCCTGTGTGGTAACCTGCAAACCCCTCTTGTGTCTTGCAGTACAACCGCTACCAGCAGTATGGAGCCGAGGAGTGCGTGCTGCAGCTGGGGGGCGTGCTGTGCCCCCGCCCAGGCTGCGGGGCAGGGCTGCTGCCGGAGTCCGGAGTGCGCAAAGTCACCTGCGAGGGAGGCCGAGGCCTGGGCTGCGGGGTGAGTCTTGTGGGTGACGCCGTTGTGCGCGTTTGTCTCTGCAAATTGATGGCTCCTGGGTCTCCTTTTCCTTCTCCTTTTGAGCTCGGACATCCGTGGGCTGGCATCTAAGAAAAGAGATTCTTCCTTTCTTATTCAGGGTCTGTCTGACACATGAAAAGAAATGTCTTTTTTGCGGCAATAATCGTCATATTATGGCTTCCGACTTTAATTGCTTATCAGAGGGGCATGATCCTAATTGTTCATGAGGTCTTGCTAAATGTGTTTGCAGTGATGCCTTCCTTCAAGGGTCCTTACAGCACCTTGGGGCAGACAGCACAGAGAGCGGGAGAAGAGGCCACACCGCTGATACACAGACTCCCAATCTCCCCGGAGAGAGGCTGTGTTCCGCTTTTCCATTTCAGCTCTCAGTCTGTAAACAAGGGTGCTTTCTGTGGTCTATTCAGAGCCCTGCTTTTAACACTCTTGCGCGTTTACTGGCGACATTGCTCTTTCTAATGGTCCCCAAGGATAGCTGGGAATGCTGTCCAGTGTTTACACGTGCATGAAAGCGGTTGTGCCCCTCACAGGGAAAATTCATGTGTTAAGATGAGCATCTTTAGATGAGCTGTGTTATGACCCCAAGTTCAATATTATCAGATCAGTGTTACATATTAAATAGAGGTCCTGCAGAAACACACATAACAAGGCTGTGTATTGATTCATTGGTAGAAATGTTGGTGCCAGAGACTCGCAAAAGCCCAGCCCTCCACACGCCCCCGAGCTGGGCTCCAGATTGTCTAGTCCACGTTCTGTGGAAGCTGAATGTAGCACTGGCCTTGGCTGATGGGAGCAGGCTGCATTTACTTTAAGACTGTGTGAATTACTAGACCAGACTTTCATCCTTCTTCATTCCTCAATAGGTTCATATCAGATAATTTATTATTTCTTCAGGGTTGCCTTTTAGGAGACAAGCGTGAAAGGGTGGAGGTGGAGGGTAGCAAACCATTCCACAATGTCTTTGGGATATTGTTTGCCCTAGAATTTCAAGAAGTGAAATGAAGATAAATACAGAAGACATGGCATTTTATGGCGGCATAAAAATCCTTTTAAATAGACATGAGCGATCATAATGATGCCTCTCGGAGAAGCAGGATTGGCAACAGGGAGAACGTTTGTTTGGAGAGGTCAAACCTTGTGGCCTCGATAGCTTCTTGCAACAGTCCATAGCTCAGAGGCGGTGATAAAGTCAGAGCCAAACACAGAAAGGCTCACTAAATTTTGGCTTGAAATGAAAACTAGATAATATCCTTGGTTTTAAATTTAATGTAGGCAGGAAAAGAAAGTCTAAATGCTATAAAATGCAATTGAATTTGAAGGGGGGGGGAACGTTGCCTTTACAATTGCCAGTTTGTGAGGAGCTCTGTGGAAGAAGAGGTGTTGGTAGCAAAGGGTATCACTTGGAGTGAATGTCTGCAGAGTCCATGAGTCGCTATAGTAACCCTTCTGTCTGCTCGTGCCAGACACCCACAGAACCGTGGGCAGAAGGAAAAATGCATAAATGGGAAAATGAGGACCCACAATGCCTCGGCAGAAAGAAATACCTTGGATGAATAATTGTGAGTCCATTAGGATGGAGCTCGAGTCATTTTCACCATCCTTGGAAATTACGGAAATCACACTGCAATTTTCAACATTCCTCATCACCATTTACTATGTAATCTGTGCTGATTGTGGCAGAAGCAGGCTGCTTAATTCCGGGGCCTGAATGCTGTCGGATGTTTTCTTTACGTCTTGACAATCGTCTTTAATGAATATTCCTGACTGTTCATTTCCTCCATTGTTTCACTCACTAGCACTTCACTGGGCAATATTCACTTTCTTTACAGAGCAGAGTATTTCTTGGGCTCCTCTTTGGCCATCACTTGCTCACCTTGCTTTGAGAACTTAGAAAGTTTTCTGCAGTTTTAACTTTTGAACATTTTTGCCCATCATGACCTTGTAGGCATGAAACATACAGATTTAAGCTGAAACTCAGGGAAAATGTCTTTATAAGGGAATTGAATTGCTTTAAAACATTTTGTTAAGAGAATTTGAAAATAACCTTACCTCATACAGGAGCAAAGCTGTATTCAGGGTTCTCTTGTGTCATTTGGAAATGCTAGAGGATAAGTTCTTTGTTTTTGCTTCTATTTATTCTGATTTATAGTCTTTGAAGTTCTGCCTGTTGGTCTAAAGTTTGCTGTTGCTGTATGACAACCCTAAGTTTTAAATGAACTCTTCTAAACACTGGCTCATGGTCTCTTGTGAGTTTGTAGCAAAGCCACTGACCTAGGCTGCTGCTGTGTGGTGTCTTGGGAACTAGACACTCCATTTGAAGATGGCTCACTCAATGGCCATGGCAATGAAGGTCTCCATTCTTCAGTGGCTTTTGACGTCTCTTGTGAGTTTGTAGCAAAGCCACTGACCTAGGCTGCTGCTGTGTGGTGTTTTGGGAACTAGACACTCCATTTGAAGATGGCTCACTCAATGGCCATGACAATGAAGGTCTCCATTCTTCAGAGGCTTTTGACCAGTGAGACCTCAGTTCCTCGCTAAGGTAGGCAGAAGGCCAGGTTCTCAGCATGTTACCTCCCTCTTAGACTGTGTTCACAATGGCAGCTGACTCCCTCAGAGATTAGAGAGAGCGAGGAGAAGGTGAGAGTCCTTCCATAACCTAACCCTTGAAGGGGCTCACCACCACCACTGCTTAGTTCTCCTTAAGAGTGAGGTGCCAGTCCCAGTCCAGGCCAAGCTTAAAAGGAAAAGAAGTTGGGTTTCTTCTTGAAGAGAAGAGTAATAGACTTTATGGGCATATTTTAGACCAACACGATTTGTCACTTGACTATCTTTTTTTTTTATTTTATACTGATGTATTTGCAAAGTTTGAATCCATTGTTTTTCACAAAAGATCCTTCCTGTTTTCTTCAAAAGCCCCTGTTGAATTGTGCAGTTCTGTGATTAACACCACCCCACACCTACTCATCTTCACCTCTCTGCTTCCATCCTCTCCCCACCCTCTGCCCCACTTGGATCCTCATACTCATTCTACAATAATGGTTTTATACAGTATTTGTCCTTGTGGGACTGAGTTAGTTCACTCACCATAATGTTCTCCAGTCCTTCCCACATTAGGTAGTAATTTACAAAATCGTTGTTCCTGTGTGCTGCACAGTATTCCGTTCTGTGATTATACCACGACTTCTCAATCCATTCGTTTGTGGTTGGACATCTGGGCTGGTTCCATGTTCTTGCGATGGTGAATAACACTGCTGTGAGCATTAGTGTACAAGTTTCCATTTGAGCCTGAGTTCTCATTTTCTTGGGGTATATTCCAAGCAATGGAATAGCTGGGATCACTTGACTGTCTTTCCTTGCTCTGTTCTGACAACTGCCTCCTGATCCAAGTATGGATTTCACATCAGCACAATTAAGTGTTCTGGGATTCCTATTCTTCTCCAGATTAGCCACAATTTGTTGTGATTCACACAGTCAAATGCCTTTGCCACACAGATAGACATTTTTCTGGTGTTAGGAGGGACTATTCCTTGGAGACGGGCATCATGCTTGGAAGGGTGGAGTGTCAGCAAAAGACAAGAAGATTCTCGACAAGAAGGACTAACAAAGGGACTGCAGCAGTGGGTCCACGTATGTCAGATATGAGGAGATGGACTCCAGCCAAGTCCAGTTCTGTTTTTCATGGAGTCACTATGAGTCATACTTGCCGTAATGACACCTAACAACAACAATATGCAGTATTTTGATGGAACCTTATCCAGTGTTTAATAGGTATGTGTGAGATGGTATGTAACTCAGAAAAACAGTATCTACTATTTTTTTTAAAAAATTCACATTGTTGTTGTTGTTGTTGTTGATTGCCTTCAAGTTGAGCACAACTCATAGAGACCCTCTGAAGAAAAGCTTTCAACATTTATCAAAGTTCACATTGGATAAATTAAACCACTTAGGAACCTGAAAGTACTTAAAAAGGTTGGCCTAGTGGTAAGAAGCTGCCCTGCAATCCCAAAGGCACACGATTCAAATCCACCATCTCCTCTGTGGAAGAAGGATGGGCAACCTCCTGCTGTGTGATTAACCACCTTGAAAAACCGCTTCCATGAGGGAGGGTCGACTCTGACTCAGTGACCCCCAACAGCAGCAAAGGCTGCACTGGTAGAGTTTTGCTCATTCTTATGTATAAATCGCCTTTGTTTTTGGAAACACCAACATGTTCATTTTGACACAGCGAAGAGTATTTTTATATTGATAGATAGGACTTTACAAAGAATATACTTAGGGATTAAGTAGTCTGACCTTTCTCACTACCAACCCTTGATTGTATTTCCTCTACTGCTCATAAAAAATATTAATTAACTTTCTGAAGAATTCATTCCTTATCTGGCCTTATTGCTATTCATCAGAACAGTCTCACTAACTTTTATAACTCCGATGTAAACTGCTGACATGTTTAATACTAGAAAACAGGGGGGAAATATGGAATGCATTAGACTCACTGACCCGGGGATTTGGGAAGCTGTCGCTGTCCAGTGCTGCCCAGTTTCACTATATAAAACAAGTTTATCTCACGTGGCGCTGTGTTGAGTTATCACAATGCTTAAGTTCTCAGCTGGCAAGCGAAGGGCTCGTAGGTCAAGGCCACCCATCACTCCATGGAAGAAAGAAGGCGCACTCTGCTCTCGTAAAGGCTGGCAGCCCTGCAAACCTTATGGGGCAGTTCTTCACTGTCTTACAGGGTCCACAGGAGCGGAAATAGACTTGATGGCAGCGGACTGGATTTGGTTTGGAAAATCACAGGTTTGGGAGATAATTTCTTAAAATAAGACTCAGAATCGAATGAAGAATTTCCTGAACCATGGGAAGGATTCAACAACAGCTACAATGTGAATGTCTGAATTTGTACATGTACACAAAGAGAGAGGTTGTGAGATGGCACCGGATAGGACAGGATTCAAGACTTACTC